CGCAGGCGTCGACCGCGAATCTGCCGCGCGCCGGGCGGCTCCCCACAGGTGGGGGGCTGCCGACCGGGTTCTTTTCGAGGCGGGCAAGGAAAGCCACCGCAATTTAGACGCTATCTCGCCAGACGCCGAAGCGTTTGAGATGTTCGGCGCGCTGTTCGACACCAGATTGAACGCGCGCAAGGCGGCGCCCCGCTTCGTCGCAGAAGGCCCTTCGAAGATCCAGGCGCGACTTCGAACAAAGCGGTTTTACCCAGCTGCTGAGAGGGTTCGCTTGCACAAGCGCCACGCGCTGTCGCGCACTGACGGCGCCGCCCTGGCAGTTGACCGCGCGGCTGAAGCCGCTCTCCGCCGCGTCGACGGATGGCGCGACATGTTCTTGAAGACGCGGGCCTGTCTCCCAAGGAAGGCGCTACTTGAACACAGCGTCGGCCCACTGGGACTGCGGCGCGGCATTGCTACGTTTGGTCTTCTTTACAAGGCTGCTCATGGGAAAGCACAGCCGTCGTTGGGTTCTTTTTTTTTGAGCCGTATAGAGGCCAATGTGCAAAGTGCGGTGTCTCATTTGTTTCGCGCTTGCACGTGGGGGGGCTGCGAGGGCCGCTCCAGCCTGGCCATCTCCGAATGCCCCCCTCGGTCAATTGACGGCTTGATTCCTATATGTATGCGCTTGCCTGACATGGTGACGCGTGCCAGGCCTGTCGAAGGCTTCCAACGTTCGCTGCAGCGTCTTGCCAAGGATGCCGCTGCGCCTGGCAGCCGTGAGTGGTTTCGAATTTTCCGCCCGGGCTGGCGCCACCGAGGGAAGTCATGCATCTTGCATGTGTTTGATTCAGTGAGGGTTTGTCGTAGAGTACCTGCGCTGGCCCGCCAGGTTTGATAATCCGTCGGTGTCCTTCTTGCTCTCGACCGCTGGCTCAATGCCCGAGTTGCGCGCAGTTGAAGCTTCTCGTATGTCGTGTCATTGGTTCATGTTGCTTGTGCTGAACGAACGTAAGTTCCGCGTGCTGGATTCTTATCATTATCTGGAATGCCCCCCCCTCACCCGACGCAGAATTGCGGGGCGCGTGGGTTCCAGGAGCGCGGGCGCGCCCCCCCCCCCCCCCCGTTTCGACGGGGGTCGCGTTGCATCCCGGAGGCTAGAAACCAAGGGCCAGGCCACTCTCGCCCTCCAAGCACGCGATGCGTTCGTTGTCTAGCAATCTACGCGGCGCACAACTTTTGGGGCGCAGTCGCCGCGTTGCAACCTAGAAGGTGCAATGCATGTTGCGGTATACTTGCGTTGCAGTCAACGTGGTGCAATTTTCGCGGTCAAATATGCGGCGCGCAATGCGCGCGGTCCAATCGGCCCGGTGCATTCCTCTTGGCGCAGCTGGTGTTTCACAGGGGAGTTGGCAGTTGGCGCATCCCATGCTCTTGCAATCGCCCCACCCACCCACCCGCAACGCGGTCTGCAAGACCCGCGCCGCAGCGATTGCGACGAGTTCTCGCCGTTGGTTGGTGCATCTCTGCGGCCGCGCTATCCCGTGCGAGCTCGCGTGCGCGCGGCGGCCAGCTTGTCCGGCGCGACCGACGCGGCCGCGGCGGCGCTGGCCGCCGGGCACTCCCCATCGGGCACCTCAGTGCGAGTCGGCGGCCTGGGCGGGCGGGGCGCCGAAGGCGCCGACAGCGGCGGGCACGACGATGAGAGCAGCGACGATGGCGGCGACGGCGGCGACGACAACGGCAAATCCAGTGTTGGCGCCGCTTTTGATCGCGCCCACCGATAGCGATGACAATGTCATCGCGTCGGCGATGAAGGTTCGAGAAGGAGTTTGACGCGCGCGCGGCCGACGTGCGCGAGCGGCCCGCGAGGCATTATCCGACGCGGCCCGCGCCCGCCCCGGCGCGCCCAAGCGCGCTCGAGCGATTTTGACGCGCGGCGCAAGGGGCCCGCTGGGCAGAATTTGATGAACACGTTGGAGAACGGAAGGTTTTCTTCAGACCGGACCGCGAGCGCAGCACCGTTTGGAAAATTGACGTTGCACAACCATGTTTGTTTTTTTTTCCGGGGCACCCGTTTTTCGAAATCTTTCCAATGCCTTTTTGGTTATTCGAGGATTTCGGCCCGCGCGCGCGCGACGGCGGCGACGCCAGCGTGCACTTCGCCAATTTTTTGTAAGGGCGTTCGAGCGATTTCGGCGCGCGCGCGAGAGGCCCGCTCGGTAGCATTTTATGAAAGTGTTGAAAAATTTGTTTTCTTCGCAATTCGCAAGGGCACGGTGCCGGCTCTTCTTGCGTTGGAAATATGCGTTGCGTAACGGTGTGTTTCAATCAGTTTTCGTGGCTCTCGATTTTGAGATCCTTGTGAAACCTGGGCTGTTAAAAGTTTCAGCATGCGCGCGCGACGACGCGCGCGCGGGTCGCGTCATTTTGCGCGGGGCTCTTGAGGGCGGATGGTTTTTGATAAGCGAGCGAGCGCGCATAATATTCTTTGCAGAGGATCAGGGGGGGGGGGGGGGGGGGGGGGCGATAACTTGCCTGGCTGCGGCTGCGCGAGTTTATTTTTGAGATGGGCGATGGGGCAGAACCGCGCGCAACTTGCAATGCGAAAAGGGCGCGCCGTTAAGTGGGGCGGGGGCGGGGGGGGGGCAGTGGGCCCCAATTCTTCTTAGGTGCGAGAATTATTTTCTCTTCGCAGCGAGTTGCCCATTCACTTGCTCGCGCAATCATCCCGCCCGCCGGCCCGCCACTTGGCTCGCGCAACCCACGTGGTGGCGATTGCGACGAGTTCTTGGGGTTGGCCGGTGCATTTCTGCGGGCGACTAACTCGCGCGATAGTTTGGCGCTACTGACGCTGCCGCGGTGGCGCTGACTGCCGGGCACTTCCCAGCTCGCGTTCCAGTGCGAGTCGGCGGTGTGGGCGGGCGCGGCACCATGGCAACGTCGACGCCGGTGGACGCGATGATGATGGTAGCGACGCTGGTGACGATGATGACGACGACGACGGCAAGGCCAGTGACGGCGCCGATGCGAATCACGCCGACGGCGATGAGGGAGTTCGACATGCGCGCGCGGCCGATGCGCGAGAGTGGCCCGCATGACGTATCGCGCCCCCCCCCCCCACATAAAGCACGCGCGCAAGGGCGCTCGAACGCTTTCGGCGCGCGGCGCGTGGGGCCCGTTGTGCATAATTTGACCAGCGTGTTGAAACCAGATGGTGATGTGTGTATATATATTATGTGCGTGTGTGAAAAATTCGCAGGAGCGCGTGCGCTGGCATTTTGACAACTGATGCGCAACAGGAAAAGAAGTTTTAGCATTTGCGGGGCAATCGGTTTTGGCATCCCTACGACGCCATTCCGGCATGCGCGCGATGGCGCGCGCGTGCATATCGACCATTTGCTGCAAGGGGCTCTTGCGACAGCGCTCGCGCAAGGGCGTTCGAGCGATTCCCACATGCGCGCGCGAGAGGACCTTTTGGTAGCAAGTCATACGACACATCAAGTCGGCCGACGGTTTCGCTATGTGTACACGACGACGCGCGCGTGTGCACTTCGTCTTGTTGATTGATGTTGTTTTATGACGTGCCCGTATACCATGGAAATGACGCTGTATCGCGCGACAATGAACCGCAACAGCAACGACGACAACAGCAACAACAACAACCCGAATCACCCACATTGGCAACAACACATCTTCAATAACAACAGCAGCAACAACAACAACAACAACAACATCAGCAACATCGGTTGCAACACCTTTACAACTACAGCCACAAATGCAACAGCTGCGATTAGAACGACAACCACCGCAGCAACAACAACAACATAAACAACAACATCGCTTCGCGGCCTCGAAAAAAGAGAGGTCCCAAAACACCTTCCAGAAACCTCCACAGCGCCCTAATGGTTCCACAGGACCCCCAAGAGGCCCGGAAAGATGCCGAAGAAACCCGAACATACCTCAAGAGGCGCCCGCAAAGCTCCCATCAGGCCCCAAGAAACTGTTTTTTCCTCTTCGACAGCATCTCCAGGATGTCCAACCCCCCTCCCCCGCCCTCCGCCCCGCCCTTTGGAAACCCCCAAGAAAGCTCCAAGAGGGCCCCGAGAGGTCTCCGGGTCACCCAGAGATAGTGCTGCAGCATCTCCTGGACCCAGAGACTTCGTGAGGCTTTTGGAGTCCTCTCGGGGCCCTGTTGGTTCCTCTCTGAGCTTTCCCGAAGCGTCCCTGGAGCCCCCAAAGGGCGCTCCAAGAGGATCCCGAGAGCTCTCCGTGTCACCCGGAGATGGTTTTGCAGCATTTGTGGGTGACCCGGAGATTTTTCTGAACTTTTTGGGGGTCTTCTCGGGGCCCCTTGGGGCCCAAGCAGGGCGGCCCCAAGAGGCCCCTAAAGGCCCATCAAGAGTCCTAGTAAGCCTCCAAGGAGTCTCAACATATTTCAAGAGGTGCCCACCACGCCCCTATCAGGCCCCAGTAGACCCCGAGCAGGCCCCAAAGAGGAGCCACAAAGGGCTCCCAAGAGGCCCTGCGATAGTTTCAGAAATGCACGAATTCGTCAAATGCTATGATACATGGTGACCCCAGCTCCGCGTTTAGTTGCGAAGGCTCTCCGCATGCCCCCACGCCGTTTCACAAGAGGCGACCCTGATGGACAAAATCTCGTAACGTGAGTTCTGGTGGCCCTCTGGGTCCCCTCTCGGGGACATCCTCCGGGCCTCGTGAGCTGCGTTGTGGGCCTTATGGGCTTGGCTCACCTCAAAAACGACCTGGGCCTCTTTTTAAAAGCGTTTTCTAGTTTGGGCTCTTGACAGGCTGAAGACGCAACCAAAAAAACGATAGTTTGTTTTAGCGTTTTCAGGTTTGTTTGGGGGCGTTTTCAGGTTCGTCGCTGTGGTGCAGCGTTTTGTTGCCCTTGCTTGCATTCTCGTCGAAGGCTCCTCCTTGTCTTCTCTGCCAGCTTGGCTCCCACGCTCCCCGCCCTGCCACCGTTCACCCCTTCTGCCCCCCCTTCCCTCTCCCAGGTCGACGTACCTGCCCTGATCCATGAGCTGCGTGCGCGGGGGGGGGCCCAGAAACCGGTTCTCGCGCGGAGACCTAAAAACGGGGGGGGGGGGGGGGGGGGAACCGCTCTGACACCAGACTAAGACCAGAAGGGGGGTGGCAGCAGGGGAAGGCGGGCTTCCGCGACGAGTCCCAAGCAACGGCCAGAGAAACGCAATCCTGTGTAAAGAAGACGATCGGGATACGCAAGGAGAAGGAAGCACGCCATCCACGGAGTTGAAAACGCTTTAAAATGATATGAAACGCGAAACAACGCATCATTGTTTTAGTTGTTTTAGGTATGTTTCCATATTTTGTTGAGAGTTGCAAACGCTGAAAACATGATTCCCAAGACGCCGAGCTGAAACCGCCCCCCCCCAAAAAAACTGGGCTTATTCAAGATGAGCTAAGCTTATGGGTCGTCTTGGTGCCCTCTCCGGGGGGCCTCTTGGGGCGATCTTGGTGGCCTCTTGGGCCGTCTTGGAGCATTGAACCCCGAAAAAGCGAGAATGCTTAAATCCTTCAAACACCGAAGGGGAAAACGGTGGTTTGGGCCTCTTGGAGCCCCTGGGGGTTTCTCTTGGAGACCTCCCAGGGGCGTCTGCAGGGGCCCTTTGGCCGTCTTGAAACCATTGTGAGCGTCTTGGTGCGCTCTGAGGCCGTCTCGTATCGTAGCCCTCTTGGAGCAGCGCAATCGCACTCGGAGCACACGCGAAGCCTTTGGATACCTCAGGTTGGAACCCGCCTAAAGGCCCCTCGGGCCTCAAGCCGAGCCCCGCAAGAGGAAGCAGTTGTACAAAGATCGGATACATGGTGACCCCGCGTGGAAGCTAATCAAAAGCATTACCTTGGGTCCTTCTTGGGTCCTTCTTGGGCCTTCTTGGGGCTCTCTAAGAGGACCCGAACTTGCACGCACATGGAACACAAGACGCTCTCCAATAAGGAGGCGGTTTGTTTTAAATGTGTGTCGAAGTCTTGACCCTCTCGGAGGCCTCTGAGGGCCTTCAGAAGGCTCCCGCAGGGCCCCAAGAGGAGCCCTGGAGGGCCCCAAGAGGGTCCCAAGATGGTTCCAGGAGGGTCTAACATGTTAATGCATATTTAACACGCGACGCCCTCCAATAAGAAGGCTGTGTATTTAAAATATGTGTGTATGTTGAATTATTGACCCTCTCGGAAGCCTCTCAAGGGCCCTCGGAGGGCTCTCGCAGGGCCCCAAGAGGCCCAGGAGGGCCCCAAGAGGACCCAAACTGGCTCAAAGATACCCCGAAGTTCAAAAGAGCATCAGCACCAGCACCACGGGCAGCCCAGACAGCGCTAGCAGCATCAACGCCAGCAGCAACAGCAACATCTGTAGCAACAACAACGAAAGAGGCAGTAACGGAAAGATGATCTCAAGACAACCCAAAAGGGTTCTGAAAAGATCACAGGATTACCCCTGTCGCTCCAAGATCCCCCTCCTGCTAAGCAATGGCCCCACAATGACCCCAGAGCGACCCTGCGCCCCAAGAGAACACCGAGTCCGACTGAACTACGGCTACCGCGTGACCCCGATTTCATTCCGAGGTGGCCCTGGGACGAACCCATGAGTTCGGGACGACTACGAAATTGCCCCGAGATGGTTCTATTAACCCTGGTAAGCTACAATATTGTGTCAATATGGCTCCAATGTGAATCCGATGCGGTTCTCCCTTTGCCTCTGTTCTTGGCATGGGCCGAATGGACGGATGGGGGTCGTGGCCCTCCGCCTCTTTGTCGAAGATTATTTCTCCTCTCCCTCGTCCTCGTCGCCCCCGTCGTCGTCGTAGCCGCTGTCCGCCTGGCACCCCTGGCCCCATACATAGCAAAAAACCGAGTCCCCGACAGAAGCCGAATCCATCATGTATCTGATTGGGAGCCTTGAGAAGGGGGTCAATGCAAACGGGGGTCAGCCAGAGCGCCGGATCTTGCAGGATCCTGCGCAGCCAGGGTTACACTAACTCGGGCTAGCGCGCAGGATCCTGCAGGATCTTGCAAAGCCTGACTGACCTGGGTTTGCTCTGACCCGGGTCAGTGCGTCCCCGAAGGTCAGAGGAGGTGAGTGTCGTATTCTTTCCCAGGGGCCACGTCAGGTGGGGGACAGGCTGTGCGGATGGAGAAGGTCAGGGGCACTGGCCCAGAGGGAGGTTATTGGACGTGTTCGTTGGGTTGGTCCTTTCCGGTGTTTCATCCTCGGGATGCCTTCCAGCAGCTGCTCCTCGCCAAGAGCGTTCCAGTGGCGCCCAGATCGTCGCGAACGGCTGCCAGACAGCAGAGTTATGGCCCGAAAACCAAGGAGCGCCGGCAAGGGGAGACAGGCTCAGGGGCGATTTCATCAACCCCAAATGGCCCATTCATCGCCGATAGGGGCCAAACAGCCCACCCCGCCCAGGAACGCTGGGTTTCGCTATCGAGGGCCTGTCGTCGATCTATCGGCGATGTATCACAGGTTCCAGCTTGATGACCCTTTCGTGAGCCTGTGCCCCCCCCATCGTTCTCCCTTCGTCTGAAGGCGGCTACAGGTAAGAGTGGGCGTCCCCGGAGTGACATTTGGTGCGCAGTTGTCGGCGCGTGAGGGCCACGCCCAAGCATGCAACAATCGGCAGGCCGCGCACCAAAGACCAATCTTGCCTAGAGTCACTCTTGCGCGTACGATCCATAACCATTTAGCCTGTTCGTTGTTCGTGTCTCGTTGGTTGGAGGCCCTCAGACCTGCACGATGGCAGGTATGGGAGCCCTCCCTTTCTGATTTTCGTTGTTGCCTTCATCCTCATCCTCACCGTCATCATCGTCATCATGGTTATCGTCATCACCAGCATCATCGCCATCCTCATCCTCACCGTCATCACTGGATTTGCCTCATCATCGTTATCATCATCGTCATCGTCTTCGTTCGCCTCGAGGTCGTTGCATCCTCGTTGTCATCCTGGGGATGCTAAGGTGTGAGGCCCTTTTGCAGGGTCGCAGTTCCTCAGTCCGCAGCGGCAACGTGCGGTTACGAATTCCAGCCCGCTCTGGATTGGCTGCGTACGTGCCGCTACCGGTTCGGTCTGTCACTTCCAATGGTAGGGTTTCCGCCAAGTCGGATGTGCCGCCACATGGGCCATACGCGACTCTGAAGTGAGATGGGGTACATAGGGAGCGGAAGCGAACGTGTGCCCGCGGCCGCGTGGCTCAAGCGGTCCGTCGCCCAGATCTGACTACACCTCAGCGCGAGGTGTATTATTTGTCATCGATACCAAAATACTGTTTGAGATGGCTTGCCCCCTACTACTGGGACTATCGCTACTACGGTACAACAGAGTGGGAGCTGGGCTTCGCCTAAGGCGAAGCTGTTGGTTGGGTCTCTCAACCCCATTCAAACTTGGTAGCAGAGCTGGCCTATGGTGGTCAGCTCTTGCTCTACTCCTCACCATCCACGGCACGATTTGGTGGACTACATATATGGTGGAACTTCAGGGTGCAGTGGGTTTGCGTGGACGAATGTATATAACTACGCAGTATAGCAAGGACACTTGCAGTGTCACCTCTGCTTACGCGGAGGCCTCTTATTTTCGTCCTACACCCTTGCGCTACTATACTCCTGAAGTCCACCCACCTACTCCATTAGGAAACTTCTTCGAAAACATAGTGCATGGAAACCTGCGATGCGGCACGGTGCCGCCCCCACCCCCACGCAGACTCACGACCACACATCGGAAGCCCCAACCGACTACATCCGACTACGACCTACGAGGCCATTGGATTGGTGTTATTGTTTTTTGGCTCACATGGGTCGCTATCGGGTGCGCGGTAGGACACATGCGTGGCGGATACGACACAAGAGCGACGGGCCCTCATTGGAACCCAGCCGGTCAGGTACCTTTTTTCGCGAATTTGTCCGCGAGGTACATGCCTGGATCAACGTGACCACAGGCAACATGACTCCCTCCCAGCAAGCTGCAGCCTGGCAGCGGGGTTTCGGAGGTCTCGCGCGGACCATAATCATGCGAGTCCCCCCAGCAGTTATCAGTTTTGGCGTTAACATAGGTGGCCGCCATACTGGCGGCGCCACCTACATCAGGTTCCTCTTGAGCACGAAATTCGAGAATGTAGAAGAGGAGCGCCAACTCAACTCCGGCACAGCTCCCATTGACTTCCGAGCCCATGCGGGATAACGAATCGACCGGACGTTAGCACGCTTCGACATAGCCCGCCATGAAGCTGAAACGGCAGGCTTAAACATCCCCAACTTCCAAATCTTAGCAGTTATTTTATTCGGATCTCTCGGAGTGGGGGCATCGCGTGCACAGCAACTCCTGCAGCCACTAAACCTCCACATGCCGAGAGACCAGCAACAGTTTGACGCCCTACTTGAACGCATGAGGTCATATGCGCACATTGCTGGGAGAACCCTTGCCAATAACTATTTTTAGTCACGGTCATCGAACCGGGACCTTCCACGCTGAGGCAAACGCAGGGCAACCTGCAATTAACGCTTGGAATGACGATCCACAACCAACTGGGGCCACTGCAGTACTAGCTCAGAACGGTGGATCGGCCAGTGGGTCGCAAGACTCCTGGGCCAGGTTTCGGGGGCAGCCCGATGCGGCATCCCCCGCGCAGGCCACAACCCTAATGGGCTCAGCGGGGCAACATGCCGAGTCTGACTTCAACTCCGGCACTGACACCGATACGTCTTCGGACGACGAGGCCACAACCCTTTACTATTCTGATATGCCCACATACCTCACGGAAGAGCGACGCGCGCAATGGTTATTCTGAGGACCCCAGAAACATAAGCGCAGATGGAGGCGGTTCATGAAGAAGCCAGCCCGCAAGGCACGGCGTATCGCACGACGAGCACGCAAGGGAAAAGGCAAGGGTCGAGGTAAGGGTAGAGGTAAGCTCGGCGATTGTATGGTCGAGGCATATTAGCATCCCTTGCATCCCTTACCGGGCCACCAAATGAATATATATATAGGTGCAGGCAGGGATCGTTGGCG